TTATCAGTACTTTAACACTCATGTTTGTGTATGCTCACTTCTCATTAAACACTGCTTGGGTTTATTGAACCTGGTGATAGCTAGTACTACACTTAATAGCCTACTCTGTGTAGATGTTAAAAGTTTGCAGCATCTGTTTTTGGTTTTTTTTGCAATAAAGCCTGAGACTTTTATGTTTTCCTGATTCTAAAATAAAGGGAGGAATTATTTCAAAGGGCATATTAGAAGAGAATGAAAAAAATAATATTGTACCAGCTGGAAGGAGATTGTGGCTTTGGAATATGAATCAATTTTCTGGATTTCATTTTCTACTCACACGCTGGAGCTGCCTTTTCCCACCTCCACTCAAGAGAACAAGTAGGGACATAACTTCTACTTTTTTTTTTTTTTTTCAATTATTTAAAAAACTTTTGGTATAGCAGATGACACAAAATGTGTTAGCTGCCCACTTCTGCAGAGATGCACAGTGAACCTCAGTAACACACTATGAGCTGAATTAAATTGTCTGCCAAAAGCAAGCAAACTTTTCTAGACAATCTGTTATTTGACACACTCTAACCAGTAAAGCCTGTTGCACCATCTGCTCTGCATAAAGTCCAGGGTACATGTTTTACATGGTTCTAAACTTAGCAGCGAGCCAGAGTCAACATTTCCACAGTGGGGATCCCCTGCAAGAAATTCTATCAACAGCTCTTGCCCTCTTGGCTTGGTGTCCGAGATGCAGGGAAATCCCTTTCCCCAGCCTATTTTCACCTGCTCACTGCCAACCTGACACCCCAGGAGAAGCTACACTGCTACACACACAATTCCTGCCCGTGGGCATCCAGAAATACCCTATGCAATCACAAAGAAACCTCAGGATACAACTGCACCAGAGGAGGCTGACCTGTTGGAGTTCTCAAACACTCCAAAAATTTCAAACCCCTTCCAACATTTTCCTGCCAAAAAAGGGAACACAGCCAGGAAAACTACACACAGACAGATACACATATCCCAGCTGCCTTGCATCAAAAGGTAAAAGGGGGGAAGGCAAATTAGCTCATTACTGGTTCTGGCTGTACTTCTGCATCTTTAACACAGTGGCTCAGTCAAAATGTTATCTGCTATCTTTGATATTTTTTTAATGTTAGAGGAAGGATAAAGAAATTCTTATTGCATCACTAAAAAACATTTTAAATTCTTATACACAGCAGCCAGCTGGTGTTTGCAGAGTTTTTACACAGCTTTTTTGCATTTCAAATACAGCTTCTCTACCAGATAACTTCCCGTGACATCCTGGCAGCTCGGAGTTTGGAGAGGGGAAGGAGCTGTTGGACCACCTGTGTCAGCAGCACAAGGGGGGCAAAAAAGGGAGGGAAACTGGGGTGGACAAGCAGTCAGAATGCCAAAATACTAAAATATGTAGGGGGAAGCACACAGAAAAATAAAATGCTAGAATGAAGCTGTAAATTGACGTTTATTAACTTCTTTCATAATTTTAGTCGGTGTGTCTGCAGAATAGCTGACAAAATACAAATATCTGACTCCACTAGGAATCTTTATTTTACTATGACACTAGTATAACTTAATGTGGCCCAAACTCTCCAGACTTTTTCCTATTTTATAATCAAATTGTGTTCTTCAGTTGTGTTTAGGGTCAGATCACACACCTGCAGTAGTATTTCTAGAAAAAAAAATCCATGACAAGACAAGACAGTGTGAAGTTTGGTACTTGTGTCTTTTTTACACTGTGAATTTTGTTTTTCCTGGCTTTTGATCCTTGAAAGCCTGACTAGTGCTGGGTTTACAGACTTTAAAATATTTGTTATGTTCTCTTGGGGCTGGCAAATGGATTATACGACAGGTGTTCTTGAAAGACTTCTAACCCCAGAGACAAACCAAACCTCACCACCCCCAGGAAAAAAAAAATGGAAAAAAAAAAGTATTTTCATTACACCACTACCATTTCAGATCATATATTTATATATTTCAACTTCCCATTTACCAGGATGGGTATAACCCTGTATCTGAGCTCTATTCCCCAAAGGAAGCTGAAGCACCCCACTGCCACAGGTGTCCTCCCTGCAGCCCTAGGATAAACTTGGTGCAAGTAAATCCCAATGACACCTGCAATAGAGTGCAGGGAACAGCATGAAGCACCCCAACTGCAATTCCCCAGCATTTCATGACAGCAGATTTGGGGAGCTCCCATCTGAGCATCCAGCTACAGATCTACAGATAAAACAAATCAGTTTATGACTAAGCTACTTTATTCTCCTCTAATATTTAGCTGCTATTCTGTATTATTTTATTGGTTCCTTGCTGAGGGGTGTGAAATTAGTTACCTGTAGGCTGAGAGAGGGCATCAATGAAAAAAATGCTTAGTAACTTTAATTTTAGCCAGTGGCTAGAGCAGAATGGCTTGGAAGACTCTGGTTGTAAAGGAATGACATGGGGGAAAAGGCTTAGAAAACTAAGGGGGGATGGGAATGGCAAAGGCACCCTCATGCACTTTGTTGAAAACAAAATGCAAAAAACCCAGAGTTGGTTTGTTGTGTTTGGGGGTTTGTTCCCTCATTTTTAAGTTCTAGAAAGTACAGCTGGTTGATGGAGAAGATGGAACAGCAGAGATGTGCCAGTCCACAGTACTCTGTCCTGATTTCATTATCACTTATCTCAAAACTCATCTCTCCATACCTCAGTCTTTACATCCTATTCACAGTCTCCCCATCCTAGAAAATTTTGAATGGCAGAAGAAACCCATCCATCTCCACAGTGAGCAGAAAGGCTCATATACACTAATTTGTTTCCTCCAATGTAACACTTTCATCTAGTCTTTATTAAAATATTAATCGACTAGAAGGAAAAAAAAAAAACCACTTGTGAAAAGCTGACAATGGCTTTTACTCTTTGGGGAAATTTTTGCAGCCTGTAAGAGAAAGAACAGCAAGATCTCTTCATACAGACACAAGCACAGCTCCTGGAAAGCTCATGGAGAGGAAGAATTTGAATGAGCTGCTTTCATGGTTTGAAAGCCTAATTGCCAAAGAGACTTACAGCAGCCACTGTGAGGATGGCTCCCTGCAAGAAACAACACAATAGAAACCATTGGAAAAGAATAAAGGAAGGGGGAAAAGGAAAGGACAAACACTAAGAATTGGCACTCCCACCCATCAAGCAGGTGGAGGCTGCCAGCATTTTCCTTCTGGAGTTCCCCTGCCCCATTGCAAGGCAGCAAGGGCCTGGCACCAGGGCTGCAGCCACATGAAGGGGGGAAAAAATGTCAGTGTAAACCTGACAGGACCCAAAGAGGAGAAGGAGGTTTGACAGCAGGGACAGCTCTCCAATTCCCTGTCTCAGGCTTTACAGGCAGAACCAATCTCAGTCAGTGGCCTGATCCTGTTAATGAAAACTCCTGTGTATCTGCATCCCATTAAAGTCACCCTGGGAACTCTGCCCCTTCCACTTGCACTTCTCTCCACACAGCCCTGCCACTCCACCTCCAGAAATACATCTTTTTATGGATGAATCTGGGTATTTTGGAGAGAGTGGATGATGGAAAGATAACAGCAAGCAGGAGTTGGGAGCCCTTCAGATCTGTCCCACTTCCCAGCTCCTGCTGGGACCCAAAGCCACCCCACCACCGGCTGGTGGGACAGGGAAAGCAACAGAAGCTCCTGTAGGGCTTTGGAAGGGACCTTAAAGACCATCCAGTTCCCACACTCCTTATGTGGGCAGGGACACCTTCCACTAAACCAGGTGTTGGAATATTCTTTTTAGCTCTGTCACTTTATATTTATTATTAAAATGGCGCCAAGGCTGTGGCTACATCTCAAATGTAAATAGTGCATTTGTATACTACACCAATTCATGGAGTGGGTGTCTGTATGATGGATTAGTAAAATTCCACAGCATCTTTTCGGAATCAAACACAGCCTCTTTATCAAAGAGGTCAAGCACATTAAGTGTATTATAAATATGCTCTCAGCATAAAAAGAAGTTTAAAACATTAATTTTTGGTCTCAGCATGTTTTTGATTCAAGCACATTAACCGTCTTTTTTCCCCTGTATGTTTTCAAAAGAATGACTTGTTTATAACAGGTTTAGGCAACCTGGTGTTGGAAAGGAATATGACCCTTTCTTTTATTAAATATCAAGATCTAGACTTTCCCTGTTGGAAGTACAAGCACTAGATTTATTTATGTCAGAGGAGTGGAACAGAAAACTCAGAGCACACAGAGAAAAATCCAGCAGTTTCTTTGAGCAGTAATAACCAGGGCAGCACCAGCTAATCCTCCCAGCACTGGTGGCTTTTTCCTAGCCCAGGTCATATGCCTGGAGTCACACACACTGGAATTGTGATCACCAGAACAAGGCAAGAGGTTCAGGATAGCTTCCCAGGAGGAAAAGGCCACACTGCTCCCAAATCACTGCCCAAGCCCTCCTGCCCCCTCACCCCTGCTCTCCACAAGCCACATCCTGGGTTTATCTGCTCAATAGCAATTCATTGTACACTGAATGCATGTTCTATGTGCAGTGTTACAGCAACCTAAAATTCTGCAAAGCAAGAACAAACTTCTCATGTCTCCCAGTTGATTCTTGGAAGCCCATTAAGGAATCAAGCAAGGCGCCTATGGGGACTTGCAAATGAAAGAACCAAGTGTTCTCTACTTAGATTGTCTAGATCAGCACACACAACTAACATTTGCTGGGGAATCGAGTGATCTTGGTAGCTCATTGGCACCCAAGATTGTATTTTTATCTGTAAAAATGCCACAAGCTAATTCTTGGCGCAGAAGGGATTGGTCTCAGGGCAAGTTGCACAGCTCTGTAGCCCAGCAGCTGTGCAGTGTTACCATTTTCAAAAGACTTAGCAGCATTGCTACCTAAGGATCTTCCCTGGGCTGCATGATCTGGAGGCAGACACAACAAATTCTCCTCTGTAAATGTCAGCAGTCGCAGCCGGTGAGTTCTGGTTTCCCCTTAACACACAGAAGGAGGATCAGACCAGAGATCAAATGTCAGAGTTACCCATGGCAGGAAATTTATTTCAATTAGATGGAAGTGAAAAAAAATACTGAAGCTTTCTTTTTTTCTAATTATGTTTCTAGTTTTCTGCAACATGACATAAATTTAAGGTTGAGAGAGGAGATGGAGGTTTTGAAAGGAGTTCTGATTTAAATCCCCCGAGGAAGACAAAGGGTGATTGTTAATAAATCATGGCTACCTTGATGCACCCAGAGGAAACTGCTGGGAGGCTGGACAAATTCACCTAGGAGAACCTGAAAAATTTGAGATGACTCAGGTGTCAGAGGTGCTGGGAAGCTGAATTCACTGTTCTCACCCATAGTGGCCTCTACCTCCACCAGCTGCAGAGCTCAGCCAGCATCTGCCCACCTCTTACTGCAGAAAAAGTACAGATGTGTGACTCCCTCTCACAACATGCTGGACAGGCATTGGCATCCCTGCTAGCCAGAGGTGGTGTCAGGGCTTCAATTGGAGCTGGACATGGTTTGGCACTGACTTAGGAAGGAAATAAGGGCATCCTTCTACAGCTGTGCAGGAGAACCCCTGTTCCTGCACAGTCTCACACCAGCATATTGTGCTAGGTGCCTTTTCCATATTTGAGCAAATGAGCACTGAAACATTTATAAAACACTCAGTAAGTCCACATTTCAATTTTGCTACCTATTCATTTGGCATCCAATTCATATCCTTCTATCTGAGAGCACTGGCCACCTCTCTAAAGCAGGTTTTGAACTTCAGGTGCGTCTCAGCCCTCCCACTCTGGTGGGTCTTTCTCCTCTCTGGTTTCCCAAATGATTTCCCAAAGCAGGAAAATGGGGAGGATGCAACAACTTTCAAAGTCACCTTCAGGAACAAAGGATGCAGGGCCCAAAATAAACACACATTTGATTTCTTTGCAGCACTGGGGGAGCTCAGAGAATACAGAAGGCAGGATCTGGAACAAGAGCTGCAGCCCTAGAATTACTCCAGCTCTGGACATACATTACAGTTGCTCAGGCTATGTATGTGAAACCTTGCATGAACAACATATTTGCTGTACAGTGGTAACATAGCAAGTGTCAAACACCAGTGAATGGCCAGAAGCAGTGGCAGACTGAGCTGGGAATCCAAAAACCACACCATGGTCTGCTAAAAAAAAAAAAAAAAAAGGCATCTCAAGCTCTCGGCCTTGCTCTTCATGCTTCCTTGGTTCTGTATTTGGAATACAAGGAATACAGAACTCGCATTATAGCCTTCGTATCTCCGTTCACAATATCTGTGGATAAACCAGAGAGAACAAAACCAGATGGGAAGTATTAGCAATCCCTGGAACAGGATGAGTCTGCACCTGCCAAAGACAGGCTCCCACATTTCCCCAGTTATAATGTGGACTTGGACAATGGAATTGCAAGAGGAAGTGAAATAGGAACTACACAAGTAGAAAGTAATGATTTGTTAAATTAGCATGAAGAAAAGGGGCTTCTGCTGCACTCTGTTGCTGGAAGACAAAGGCAAATAATGCAGAGTAAGAAATTCACTAGCAAAAAGCAGAGTAGATAATTAATAGGGCTTTATATCTTGAGGTTTTTATGATTATTCTGTGTCAGGAATCATTCTTTTTTGCACACTTTTTTTTGTTGACACTTTATTTTTTTATTGCAATATTTCCATCATGTTTTGCTGACATATGATGCACTGTTTTTGTTGGGGTTTTTTGGTTTTGTTTTGGTTTTGTTTTAATTTATTTTTCAGCTTCTTTCTTCTTCACCAGATAAACTGCTCTTTTATTTAAAAATTGCAGTGGAAGAGAGTAATGGATTCAGAGGGGTTTCTGTTCTTCTTCTGATGCTGTAAATCACTGGGAGAAAGACTAACAAAGAAACACTAGTTAAATGAGATCCTTGAAGAGTTTAAATAGTGTTGCTCTAGCAAGGACTCATAAATAATATTAAATTCACTCACTAGCTGAGGATTTCCCCAGTGAAGGTAAAGGACTTGAGGATGTTGGCACCAGTATTTCTTATGCTGATCAGCTCTGTGTTTGAGGCAGTGCAGAACAGCCAGAGGCGGGGCGGGGGGGGAAGGAAAGCACAGATTTATTTATTTTCACACAAAAGGTGGATCTCAGCATGGAGACCTGAGCCCACACCCATTATTCTGTTAATGTGAACATAAATAAAAGCTCTTTAGCTTTCCAGGCTCCTAGCTCTGTGCAGCACAGCAAAAAGCCCACAGCCCAGAATGCCCAGCATGCAAAGTGCTGACATCACCAAAGCAGTAGTGGGAAAAGAGAACAAAAGGAACAACAAAGGAAGCCCTAAATCCTCTTTCCCTCTCCATGATACCATGTGTTATGTCCCCAGCACATGCACCCACTCTCAAATAACTAACAGGGAGCTAGAACTGGAATAATACTTTTTATTTTTAATAAAGATTTGACTTCCTTTTTCAGCCACAAGCTTGTAGAGGAATATAGGCATTATGTGCCCTGCAAGAGGTCAGAATGCAACCACAGCACCACCCATTAATTAACCACATCCCTCCTCCCATCAAGAGCTCTCACCAAATTTTTCTGTGGAGAATTTTACTTGGAAAACTGGACTCATCCAAATGGAGCTTGTTTGTTTGTTTTTGTGGTGGAGAAAGAAAGAGGGGCATGCATGTACATTGATTCAGTGATGGAAGCATTCACTTGCATGAAGGAGATCAAAATTAGCTCCCAAGTCTGAACCAAGCATAACAGCAACTAAAAACCTGTGACTTTCATATTCAGCAGGCTGACCCACCACTCTTCAGAGTTTGAATAGAGTGATCAGTGTTTCTGATTTTCCATAGAAATTCTTCAAGGTATCTTCCAACAGAAACAAGCTTGCTTTTAATGCACTGAAAGTTTTTATGAGACAGGAAAATAGCTTTGCCTCCAGCTCAGCTGCTGTAATTTCCCTAGGAGCTGTCACTGGTTTAAATTTTAACAAACACTGAATTACTAAACAGTTTAAGTTTAGTGTAAAGTTATTAAACTTATAACAATCCAACTTTTTTAGTATTGAAATAATGATTTTTTCAAAAAGAAGGTCTGATACCTCTACAGTTCATTCTGCATGAGGAGCTGTAGGGCAGCCACATAATGAAATGTGCCAGAGTCATTTCCAGAACCTGCTTCCTGCAATTACCCAAACTATTGCTAAGCTGGGACGTTAGCAATTCTATTCCAGGTAAGTTTGCATGTCATGACTCACCTTCAGAGTTCACAGGAAAATTCAGAAGGCCTCCCTCTGCTAGCAACTCCAGTGCCAGGTTAACATTGTGGAGCTGTTGGAGAGAGAGAAATATTAATATTGCTGACAATATTTTCTAACCAACAGAAGGTTTTAAAAAGTATTTCTCTAGTAGCCGAAGATCATTCAAAGGAATATTCATAAATATGTACCCATATTCCTCTCCTCAGTTTTGATGAAGTGCTCTTCAGAATTTTTACCAATTATCATATAAAATTAGATGTAAAATCCATCTCCAGCAAAACATATCCCATGAGGTGGGCAGAAGAATCCATTTATTTAAAAATAGACCTTGCATGCGAAAGACTTGTGTTAATGAGGAAAACAGGCTAGATTCCTAACTGGTTCTAATGGATGCATGGAGCTATTTCTGGGTATTTTTAAAACAATGTCCATATGCTTACCACACTTGGAACAAATGAAAAGGGGAAAGTTCTCTTTATTTCCTTCAGAATTGCAAATATCAGGTATGCTTGTTAGCTAGAAGGTTCTGCTGTACTTCTAAAATGTCTATTCACATTAATAGTAGTGATTATATCCTTAATAACACTCATCAGAAATTAATCCCACATCTATGAATGAAAACTGAGGGTTGTTTCCTCATTTTTCCTCATTGTTTTTTATCTTCCTTCCCCACATAAAAGCAGCATCACACACATAAGCAATAGTTGTAATCAATTTTTTAAAAGTAATATCCCCTTCTAACAGCTTAAGGGTAGTTGTTTACTTGGCTGGTAATCAGCAAATTCCCTTCCTCTAAAGGAGTAACAAGACCTGAATGAACTTCAGATTGTCTTTTCCTGCCTTCCCTGAGCTACTGGGCAATTTATCCTTTTGGAGGTTGCTGTTCCCTGTTATGTTGTGACAATAAGCACAGGAGTCCCCCCTCCATAAGCCAAGCAAAACCCCTGTGCTATGAAGTGAAGCAACAGATTTATATTTCACCTGGTTCTCTGATTTACAAGTAACTGAGCCTGCCTGTTGGGATTCAGGTTTGTTTCCTTCCTCTGATGGTCAGCAGACAGGAGAGCTTAAGGGCATGCAGTTCTACACAATTTGCTGATCGGAATGAATAAATCAAATGTTTCCTTAGTGAACCAGCACAGGTAAAAGGGTATATTTCCCTCTCTGAAATGCACTGGGGATTTTCAAGGAATGGCAACATGCACACTTCAAAAACCACCTTCAGACAGAAATACCAATAATTATCCAAGAAAGGGAAGCCTTGAAAGTAAGATGCTTTGTCCAGCTGTGCTTCCCGACTCCAAAGAGCTGGACAGGTTTCTAGAACTTACAACTGGGCAGCAGCCAGGACATCTGGGGTGTTTCAGCTCTGGGCCTGTTTTGGCAAAAGAACCAATTCTGACAAGCACACAAGCCCTTCATCATCATCATCTTCATCTCCTGACTGCACAGATATCACCCCTAGTTTCAGCCTGAACTATTTTGTGATCATATTCTTTGTCTCAGAAAATATACACCTTTCTACATTCATAAGCACCCAGGGCTGCACTTCTTTACAGTTACTTGTAAGTGCCTTTTTTTGGCAATAAACACCCCAAAAAACCCTGCAGCAAACCTGCCCATGTGCAGTGTTATCTTTTTGCACCTCAAAATTGATCACCTCCTAAATTTCTGTCATGAAATGGCGTTGGTTAGAAGGAACTGTAAGGTGGATGCACCACACTGATCCCAACAGCGCATGTGGTTGTCACCATTCCAACAACAAATGAGATCTTTTAAATCCCAGCAGAGGCTATATCTTTATACTTTACTGCAGCAATTAATGTCTAAAATGACAGGGAGTTAGAAAGCACAGGGGAATTGTGTACAAATGACAGCTGAACTATGGCCAATCGATATTTTTAGTTGTCATCCCGCTTTTCATTTTGTAATAAGCATCAGAGGAGAAACAACTGGGAAATACCATTCTAGCAAAGTGTTCAACAGCAAGTCCAGTCCTTGGGAGTAACTTTGCTAAAATGAAATTACTACATTTTGTAAATGTAGTACATTTCATGTAAAGAATTCTACTGAAGCAGTACCCAACCCCATTCTGTTCTTCTCTGATGCCAGTGATGGGCAGGGTAAGAACTAGGAAATCTGAGCTTTGATTTATACCAGAATTTTAGGGCTAGCTCATTTCCAGAAAGATATCTGTGAGGCTAGAATAGGGCTGAACCAAAAAGTATATGGTTGTTTATGAAATTTTAAATAAGAAACTACTCCATTTATTCCTCTGAATAAAGCTAACAGAAAAGTTAAAAATTTCTGTCCAACTCATGGGAACAGACCAAAAAATTTTGAAAACTGAGTGGAAGAGAAAGGGAAGAAAAACAACTCTTACAAAATGCTTTGATTATGTCTGATTAGACCCTTCAAAATATATTTTCCTTGTTCTTAGATTAAAAAAAAAAAAACACAACATTTTTTTTCCTAATACTTGAAACAGTTACCAACTGACTGCAATGAAATTTTGATGACATTTGAACCTAGGTGTCAAACAATTGTTCTTTTAAACTTTCTGATGAAAAGCTCCATGGGAATGTTTGTTTGTTAATATAGGACCTCTGAGAATTTTTGTTACAAATAAATATTGCCCAGGGACATTAAACTCTGCCAAGGTTGGGAAAAAGATGAAAGCTTCATCTGCACGGGGAAGCCGTAATGCCAACCATGCCAGAGGAGAGATTTTCTTCTCTGGCAGCTCTCAAGCAAAAAAGATCTGACACATTTCACTTCCAGAGATTTGAGCGCAAACCAGGAAAAATAGCTACAGTTTCAAGAGTTTCAGAGCTACTCAGAGACTCAAATGAATAAAAGCCTACCCACACTAGAGACAATCTGAAAATACCACAAATATCTCAAAATATATCAACATTGCAGACCTGTGGAGGAGGCAGCCCAGGCACACACTTCCTTCTGGCTGGTGACAGCTTTTACTTTTAAAGCACAGATGAAATCTGCCTGGTATAGGTGGAAAAAGGTGCCAAGCAGGTCTGGCTGAGTATTTACAGCCCCCAACCTCGGGGGAGGAAAGGATGTAAACTCTCAAGAGCTACCCAAACACAGAAAGGGCCCTCAAAATGTTCTGGCCATGTTCTTGATTAAGCTATGTTTTTAGGGCAGCATAAAGAAACTCACAAAGATTCAGTTCTGCTATGGAAGACGTGTCATCTTGAAATCCTGTTTGCAGGACAGACTGGTAGAAGAGAACACACCCATTCCCCAGCACACACAGCCCTGAATTTCATCAGAAGGCTGCAGAAGCATGGCCATGCCAAACAAGTGTAAGTAACAGGTGTTTGCCTCCCATGAGATGCTAATTTTGAAGAGGACACCGACCTGTTCTGAGATATTTTGACAGCCTGTGTTGGCACTGCCCCAAACCCCCCTCCTGCAAACACCATGGGCATGGGACTTCACACACACAGCAGCAGCAGTGGAAGCAAGAGGCAGAACACACAGTTTGATGGCTCAAGCTCTAAATAATTACACAACAACCTACCATCTCCATGGTGCTGGCTGGAGTCAGGAAGAAATTCCTTAAATTCAGAAAGTAACCCTCTAGTTGTCCAGTTAGGAGAAGTAAGATAACCCCATCTGAAAACTAGATATGAATTACCTGAAAATTATTTGGCTTTAGTAAACCATTCCAGTAAATGCCATTCTAGCAATAAAGGAATTAAAATGTTACTCAGGTAAGCAGACAGCCTAATGATTCAGCTCCCTCAACCTCTTCCACACTGAACTTCTTATTTAGTTAGATAAGGCTCTGAAATTCATATTTGTGAAAATACAACCTTGTAAAAGGACAGTTATTAAAGCAAACTGTTCCAAATAGGAAAACACTTCAGATGAGCATAAATACATAACTATAAACAAAAGAAAATTGTGCCTCATTATGCATGACAAAACACTCGAAAACTTTCTTTTCTCACAGTTGCCCAGTGGAAAAATCCAGAAGAGCACCCTGTTCAACAAAGCCAGGGTGCTTAGCCCGAATTCTCTTGCAATTTTATACTCTAAAGAAACTCTACATTCAGAGGACAAGATTTTGAAATGTGATGAAAATAAGGCCTTCATACCATGAAGCAAATGCAGCATCAACAATCACTAAATACAGCAATCAACTTGGCTTTCATTTTAATGCTCAGGACACCTTTATTTCCATCCTGACAAAGAAAGCACCCTTAGGAGTTGGGCTGACTCTGAAAATTACTCATTGTAGCATTACAAGGGCAGCATTCAATACAAAGGCTGTATTTTTGCATTAATTATTAGCTTCAGAACCTCAGAGACCAAAGCTTGATATCTTAACTTAAACCTGGAAATCATTATGTTGCCAAATTTCAAATTACTGCAATAAAAAGGAGAATTCCTAATGGTGAGAGGAAACATCCCAATGGCTGACAAAACATGGGTAACATGCAGCTTGGAGTACACTACCTGAGATTCGATGTCTTTCACATTTAATCCTAATTTTCCAACATGCTGGTCAACAAATTGCAAAAGTGCCTAAAGAAAAAAAGAAAGGCGGAAAGGAAAAAATAACTTTTTCAGTATTTAAGCTCAGCCTAACGGATTTTGATGTCTACTAAAAAAATAAATTACCTTTTTTACAGCATCCAGTTTATCTGGAGCACAGTTAAATAATTCATCAAAGGCATCATCTTCTGTATCAAAACAACATTAATTGGTTTCATTTTAATAACTGAGAGATCAGAGTTTTAATGTGGCTACAGAAGGAGAAAGGTATTTGCAACTTAGAAAATCCAAGGAGGAAAAGAGTAGCAGGGAGGCAGAGAAAGATGCTTCTTTTGTATTTATCAGCAGACAGGATGACAGGCTTCCTTCAACCTGACCACATTAGAGAAAACTATTTACTTCATTCAGCTCTGTAATTTTCACCTGCAGAGGTTCTCAGTTTGTACTGCCACCAGTCTGAACACTGGCTAAGTTTCACATCACCACAGTTTATAACTTTTCACTTAGGTTTTTTTAACCCTGAACCTCTGGGATAAAATGCAGGGAGCAGAAGAGCTGTATGTTTTACTGCCCTCCTCAAACAGAAATGTCAGTTAGACCAAACTTGGGGAAAAAAAACCCAGCCTCCTTCCTTCAAAAAACCACAAGCAAGATATGGAGAAATTGCCCTTCCTCTGAAAACTCAGAGACCTCAAAACCAGCCAGTCCTGCCACCCAGTTTAAAATGGGCAAGGAGCTGATGCCAGCAGAGCTGTGCCCAAGAACTAGCAGGAGTCTAAAACTTCCAAGGAAATTAAATCGATTCTAGCAATAAAGAGAAAAGAAATGAGTCCCACCCTCACTTCCCTTTTCTGCCCAGGTGCAGCAAAGGCAGGATCCATCTCCTCACCCAGCCACAACCCAGCTCTGGTTCAAGCATGAGCAAAATATTTGAAACACCCCAAGCAACAAAAGGCAATCTGGCAGCTCAATTAAATGGAGAAGCAGCTTCTACAGCACAGGAAAGCAAAGGCAGCTTTGCTTAAGGGAAATTCCTCCCCAAAGACAGTGACAGAGAAGGCTCCTTTGTGAAAGGGATTCCTGGGGTTTCTCTGTTCTGCCTGTTTGAGGGTTGCTGTGGAAGCAGTGTCAGGGAATAGGTGAATCCATCAAGGAAATCAGAGAGAGCCCTCTTCTGGAGCCATGCTTTGGGATTTCTCTCTTTGCTAATGCTGTGTCAAAAATAGAGAGAGAGCATCTTGAAGAGTGAATTGCAGATTTCTCCTCCCAGCAGAATCAGCCCACTAGAAGAAACACCTAATTATGGGTTGGGATTTTTTTCTTCCTTTTTTTCCCCTAATGTTATTTTTTTTTTTTTCTTTTTTTTTTTTCTTTTTTTTGTTTAGGGCAGAGGGTGAGAGTTGGAGTGTTTTTCAAAATTTCAACCCACACTATAGATCACTCAGTGAAATCAGTGATAAATAGATATTAAATTATATAGCTTGCACCTCTGCAAAGGATGAAAATGCCAAAATAAAGGACACAAAAAGCAGAGAATTGAAATGGTTGCCTTGGTTCTCTGTGTGCTCCTTTGCAGCAGGGAAGAGCAGCTCACACTGAACCCAGACCTTCTGCAGGCTTTGCACACAGGGACATTTTTCACCTCAAGTGTTTCCCAGCCCTCAAAAACCCTAAGGGTAAAAGCTCTGGGAATTTTGTTTGACCGAGGTGCCATCCACGACCCAGTACCAGTGGATTTCAAAATCTCATTTGCAAACTGTGGGTAGCAACAAGAAACACAGCTCTGAAGCCTTTATAAATAGTTCCAACAGTGAGCATGGTCCATGCACAAATCCAATCTGGGATTTTGCCCCCTGCCAGGTTTCTTTTTTGGGTCATCAACCCACCTTCGTGCCCTGTCCTCCCTCCCATCAATTGCCTGTAGCCCACAGGCAAAGTGACCACCCATTTTCCAAGCTGTATTCTGTTGGTATGATCAGGCATTAACAGAAGACTTTTGGAGGAAAACACCAGGAAAAAATATCCATGAATCTCCATTAACTTTAGTGGAAGCATGCTGATTTTATCATGGGGTAAAAATGGATCAGGACATGGTGTATAAAAGCACATAATGAAACACTGAACTTGGCAATACCAGCACTTACTTGACTGTGCTCCTATATTCTCTCTGGAAGTGCAATAAGAAGCAAGAATTAGAAAAATGATTCAGCAGAGCTGATCTTATTCATAAGCATTGCTTATCTGCTATCGTGTAAAGCAGGAGATAGAGTTCAAAGTGGCATTATCTTTATGCCAGAGTGACTTTCCAACAGACATTTTAAAGTAGATTGTATATCTGTGTAGGGTCTTGGAAGTATATGAGATTTTAACTGGCTCACACACCAATGAACATTTATTTTAAAAGCACAATCCTCAATATCCTCTTGCAATAAGCCGCTCATGATATTAGAGCTTGAAGATGTTTGGGCATATAAAAAATGATAGTAGGAAAATCTGTTTCTACTTCTTAGAATGATATGCATATTTTTTTGGTGTATAAATTGTATCCAACTAAACTCCTTTAATAATGGCAGTACCTCACACACTCAGCAAGCTAAAAACATTTCTTTCACAGTAAAATAAGAAAAGAATTGCCTCCTTTCTCTTTATTTAAAAACAAGACAGCAGCAAATTTAAAGTAGATTTAAACCTTTGTGGCTTTAGAAAATTTCTAGTTTAGTCTGGCACAGGTAAATTTACAGTACTGGAATTTTGTTACTATATTTGCTATGAAATTCCATGGCAATAACAATTGCTAAGCTTAAGGAATAATCATGCATATTCTTTTATATATAGAATAAATAAAGGTATTGCACCACAATGCCAAAGAGGAAGAGGGGAATGAAAAAAAAAAGGGGGGAAGAAATCAGAGAAACAACTCACATGCATATGCATGTCTGGGCTTACACCTTTTTCATCATCATGATCCCAGCTACTTTTTGTAAGGGGGAACACACCCACAACGTTTCTTTTCTGATTGACAGTGTAAAAACCAGATATATCCCCTCTTACTTGTTTTCTGTGATATATTCCACCGCATTTGATGTCTTTAATCCTCTGGAGGTGGTCTGTTGAAAGGACAATAAACAATGTTGGGTTTGTCACACACAAAAAAAAAATCCATAAACAAGTTTTCATGACCTGTTTGCTGCCTTAAATAATTATAACAGGGCATTTATTCAATAACTCCAGTACAGTTAGCACAGGTATTTTGAGAGATTTCTGCTTCCTTCTGCTCTCTTCAGTCTCCAACAGGAAATCTCTTACTTCCCCATGAGAGCAAGTCCTTGGTGTTTGCTGCTCTTCCCTTTCAGGCAGTGAAAAACATTCTGTGTTTACATACACTGATGGTGCTAATTTTTGCAATTATATCCCAAATTGTAGGATATTTAACATTCTCCTACAATCTCAGAATTGACTTGAAGGAACAAAATAGAGGAAGAAACCATGTAGATATCTGCTTGTAGAGAAAAATACCAAAATGTGACCCCAATGGAAGGGGAGTAAAAACTCCTGTCACCTAAAATCAGCATTAAAAACCTTCATGATGTATGAATACAATCTTCTATTTAAAAATATTTAGAGACAGTAACAGCAGAATTTCTTCATTTTCTTCTTTACAGAGATCAACATCTGCTTTCAGTTTGGACCATTGCCTTGTTTGGCTGAGGAAGAAAAACAGCATAGTGCTTTTCCCCTTTTAAAGATAGAGTATCCAAACTGAACACTCAATCCAACCCGAAAAACTCAGAAACTGAAAGGTGTGGTTCACAGGAAATACTAGTATCTGTTTCACAGCTGCACACACAGCTGCTCCTAATTCTAAGCAGGTTAGCCTTGTGAAAGGACTCTAGGATCTACTGTAACAAATACTGAAATTACAAATACCTCGATGGTGATTGTCTCCACTTGAACATTTGGAGGCAGAGCCAGGGTGGGCTCAAAGTGCTTTGCTATTGCAACCAGAAGATGCAGTGTGCTCAGTAAGTCCTTTGCCAAGATAGCTGTTGAGTGTGAAGGAAGAAAACCATGCTCAGCGTGCAAAACATGTGAACTTCCCTCCAACATCATGAATCCTCCCTGTGCAGAGAACCCCAAAGTCATGGAGGGCCATAACACAGGTGGGACACCAGACTGGGGTTTATATAATATCAAAATTTAGCAATAGCATAGTTTAAAAGTGAGACATAGAGGGATGCTGAAGGCTTTTAAGTGATCTACAAGCCACACTCTTAGAGGAGGCAGATCCAGGCGGGGTCTGATATTTCTGTCTCCCTTTTGATTCAACTAGTAGTTGAAACCAGGTTTTTATTTAATTACTGTTCTGGCAGCACACTGCCTCACAGCAGCCTTATAGCACAGGAAGCCTGTGATGGAAAACTTTCTTCAATTTCACTTCTGCACCTACATTCCACACTCCATTTCAGCTGACTTTCTTCCAGTTGCAAACACTTGGCCACAACTTCCAGAATCACAGAGAGTTTCTGTCGCTGTTTTTTTTCTGTCAATGCAATCTTCTCAACATCCAGCTTGAGAGAGCCTAAGTTTTCTTTTACAGAGGGTTCACAGAAGGAAGAATGCATTTTAACATCATGTATGGAAAACAACCAATTAGAAACATAAAATGACATCAAAGCACACAAAGTCTTGTTTTAAATGTTCAATATCATCTAAGAGCTCTGCAAAAGGGAGAGGACTCAAGTCACTCCTTGTAGCATCATCCTGCAGCCCTAGCTCTTTCTATTTCTTCTACAGAAACCCAGAGTGAATCTTTCCTTGTAGGTAAAGTGCAAAGTTGAAATCAACTCATATATAGAAGAAATCTGAGGTCATTGCTCAGGCAACTAAACTATGAAAATCAGCCAGACCTGCTCATGCTGCTGCTCTCAGCCTACGTGGAAAGGAGATTTAAAAGATGTCCCCAGAGTGAAAAGAGAAAGAAAAATGTAGTAGGGACAGAAGAGATAGAGAAATAGATAATAGGCTGCTCCAGGAGGTCACATCTTTATACAAGCACCACATAGTGCCAAAAGCCTCTTAGATTTTTACCAGTTCCAAACCAGAACAGTTCTTTGGACCTAGGGCTTTTAAGTTTTTCTTTTTTCTTTTTCTTTAAGGCAGGAAAACATATGCAATATTCAGCACAGACAGTGCTGATTCCATCCAATGTTTCTGGTAGCACAAGCCACCTTTGTGTTCCTGGTTTATGAAACTCTCATTTCAGAAGCACTGAATTTCACACTTCATAGTTAACATTTGCATTATGTCAATTGCAGGTATTAAGAATTTCTTAGAAGTACAATAACCACATGAAACAATAGTGGGAACTTGTTCAGAATTTTGATTATCACAGCTGGCCCCCAGTGCAGTGAGAAGTGATGACAGGTCCCTGCTACCATGATTTCTGAGGTTTATTCTCTGATTGGAAAGTTCCTCCATGAGATGCCTGCAATAACTAAACTCAAAGGAGCAGCTCACCCAGGAGATGATGAAGTACCAGCCCATCATACAGATCTTCCTCCAGACTTTTAACTACTATGTGCTCCTGTTTCAGAGTTCTGTTGATCCAATCAGTCAAGAACTGCAGGGGAAAACAAAGCAATTATAATCCTGTTGCTCACACAGCACTATATTCTGTTTCACCTCTCTCTTCAGCCCCTTATTTCAGATCTTGGTATGCTTTCAATCTCCACTTCCTTTGTGTTTTTTTGGTTGTTTTTTAAAAGGTTGGTTTTCTCTAATTTTCAAGTGAGACAGACATCTTGCTACTTATATTCCAAGGAATTATGTTATACAGCTGAGAAAAGAGACCCTCTTCCCACTTCCACCAGGGAAAAGCCTGCACAGTACACTTCCCATCCCCTGCCTTCATCCCACATCACAGAATTCACACAAATTCAACTGCCAGGAAGAAGTTTGTAAGAAAAGAGGCTTGGCTCATTCTGTGGGTAGTTTCTTGTACCTATCCACACTACTAGCACTCCTCCCTCTCATCTCCTGGTTTTGTTTTCTTTTTCTTTCTGCAATATTGTACCACTCAATCCTCAAATACCTCCTTGGAATTTTCTTACGTGGCAGTCCTCGCATTGGCCTTCCAATAGCCTTCCTGCCTTTGCAAAGGGGAAGCTGCTCAGGAAGCCAAGGTCTGGCTACAAAAGGAGAGGAACCACATGTGCTCCTAGATGGGAGAACAAAGCAGTTCCTCAGTGCTTCTCCAAGCATGTGTTTTAGCCACATGTGTTGAGGGAAAGGGAAGGGGACCTGGTGAAGCAGAACAGAAAAGCAGTAGCCCTAGCTGGCTGCCAACATGAACATCCCTCTTGTAAGAGGGAAGGGTATTGCTTTTATTGCTGTGATTGTTACGAGTGAGTGTCTGGAGTGGATTATATCCTTCTCACTTGCTGTAAACAGAGGAGAAAATTCATACCAGATTCCTGTAAGCTTGCCAACATTAACAAAAAAGTAAGAAGGATTTGAAAAGAAAAGTCTCTGAGAAGCTTGAAACTGCAAAAGAAATAAAAAAGCCTGAACTGGGAAGCTGTCAAACTGTAAAATGCATCCTCAGCTAAGAAGTAACAAGAGCAGAAAGCTGCGCTCTTCAGCTGATGCTTGGTGACACTTTAGATGTGCATGGGGCAGAGCAGAACCCCAAAAACAAGAGTCCAGCCAGAGGGAAGTCAGAAAAGCAGCAAGCACTGCTGAGCACAGACCCATGGCATCCCTCCTGTGCTCTCCCAGCTCACACAGCCACATCCACAGCCTGAATCTCACACAGTTCTGCTTTCTGCCCAGTTGTGGGGGCCCCACTCAGCTGCGGAGCAGAGCCTCATGTCTAAAAATGAGCAAACAGGGAAAGTAGAAAAGGAATACTTTGAGAAGTTTGCTGCTGGCTTCCGAATGCAACCATCTCCTATTTTACATGCAGATGGATATTTATGGCAACTACAGGGAGCCATTTCGGATTTCTCACTTCTCCAAAGCCACCTCCAAATGAAAATGCAGTGAAAGTCTCTCTCCCCAGTGAGTTTCTTTGCTTTCCTTGTTCTTCCCTTGAAGATTCCTCCCTGTCCCTGTCTCCATCCCAAATGTTTCTCTAGAGAAGCCATCAAATCTTTAGATGAAGAAGGCAATCAAGGTGCACTGATGGGAACCCAGAGGACTTTGTCTCTCTCAGGACACAATTTCCATCACCCAAAGAAAAGACATTAGACAGTGATGAACAACATTTCAGGAATCTCTGACAGGAAATGGATTAAGCACTGAAGATCACAGAAATTTTCATAACTGAGGAAAACTCTTCATTTTTGGCAATCTCAAAATAACAAATCTAGTCTTTCTGTATACAACATAATTGCATTTTGCAGCACTACTTTTCAGACTTTCCCTTTTGTATAATAACATCATGAAAACCTGATAGAAAAATCAAATCTTTTTGATCAAATGTGTATGAATACCTAATATAGAAACACACCTATCTACATGTTTATAAATGCTACAAAATATGAACAATAGCACATCTTAAGCTGCTTTTCATAATATTTCTAACAATTTCAGCACCTCGATAATGCAAGGAGTTCTGGTCTCATAAGACACATGCAACTTCTCTTCCAGGAGGTTTCATTACATGAACTGTGCCATTAGAGAAATCGAACACACTGGAGAGACTTTCAAAATTAGATGGAAATAAAGTACTTGCCTGTGGAACAGAACTCATCCTTCACAGTTACCTCAAGAAGGCAATGTACCATACAACAGTTGAAAGCTTTCATCCCGAATTCCTGGTGACTTGCACACTCTTCATCCCATGCCCCTCTGCTGACCTTGTCAGCTGAGCCAGCTGCTGGTGAAGGCTGTTGCAAATCAGCAGAGCAATCCTAAAAGTGCAGCAAACCCGCACCATATCTCTCCTTAGTCACAGCAAATGCTGACACGGGTCTCCTTTTGGTCCCAGCCTGGGGTTTTGGCTGGATTCTCATGGCTGTTTTGCTACCATCACAATGAAAGAGCAACTGGGTGCTTCTGATGTGGCTCACCCACACAGCCCAGGTTAGGAGAGGTGTCAGGTTTATATCTGCTCTCCACACCCAGCAGTGCTCATTGCATTGGAAGCTTGGTCCTGTATGGCCCCAGCCTCCCTGATGCTGTGTTGGATCAAAAGCTTGTTTGGCTTCACTTGTCTTGTGCCCAAACACCCAAAGAAGAGCTCATTCCCATCTGTAGAGAGTGGGGGACTGGGGTCAGAGAGCTGGGCAATTTATAGGGCCGAAAGAAGTTAAAGAACCGGGTTCCTTGTTTCCTTTAGCACAGCTCAAGGTGAAGATTAAACTAAACAATAAAAAGTAGTACCAGTTTCAATTCTTCCAGTTTGGGGTTGCTGCTTGAGGTCGGTTTTATGAGTTTCCTCTTCTCGCCTGTGGTAGGAAGCAAACAAGATCCATCACAGTTATCAGATATGACTGTGTATAAAGCAAGTGTGCAAATAAATCTGCTATCAGTTTGATATTCCCAATATAGCTAATTGCCCGATGCAGAAACATTTATTTTTCATTTTAACTCATTCCTTATGAGCAAGAAACTGGTGTAGCAGACTACTAAGTCTGCTGTTGGAAATGATGCTTCAGTGTACTTCAAATGAGTAAAATCTAGATGGACAATTTTAGAAAGAAGAAAACACACTTTGTCAGATCCACATGTGTGAAACTTAAATGTCAGTTAAAGAACCAGCTGGACTTTATGTTGCTTCTTCATGATCTGCCCCCAAAGAGTCAGCAGCCAAATTGCACACACAGAGCTTAGTCATTTCTTATGCAGCCATGGGATCACTGCTGAAAAATATAGAATTCAGTTGTACAGCACATTTTCTGTTTGACCCTTTAGGTGGTTCTTTGACCTTTTTTCTGTCCTGGTTCATAAAGCACATACCTTTAGCGAGGACATCCTCAGTTAGGAATTGATCAAGTGTAGAAGGCTGTGTAAATGCATTTAAAAAGTCTGGATTCATTGTCTTTAATCACTCCTGGTAAACTGGTAAAAAACATTGGGGGGAAGGGAACATGAGTAAAAGCATGTAAAGATCAAAATTAGTGCTAAGAAAACAAAAAACAGAAGGGGTTTGTTTGTCAACTATTTAATCACTATATGCTTTTAAAAAATCTGAAAATATATTTAAATGTGTGCAAAGAAAAAAAAAATTTAAAACCATTTTCATTTTTTTTGTGTTAAGCATCAAAATGTAGGAAAAAATAACCTGAAGACCTGAACTAAAACTTCCTTTAATTACATTTAATTTTATTTTCCCTGTATTAGATAAGTAAAACCCTATCTTAACTGAAGTGAAAAAAGGTTTCAGTCCCTAGATATTAATGTGTACATGCTAGAAAATATAAAAATTACCGATACTTAAGGAGCATTAAATCAAGAACCAGTAGTTAAATTACTGAGAAAAGTTACTAAATATAAGCAGCTTCCTTTATTGGTACAGATGTGGGGAGACAAGGACAGCTATTGGCATCTGAATAGTCTCTTTAACAAATTCTAGTATGGAGTCATAGAGTCAGAGTGGAAAAAAACTCTGAGACATTGAGTCCCAACTACTCACCCACCACTAATGTTCCCAAGTGCCACATCTGCATTGTTTTTGTATCTCTCCAGGGCTGGTAACTCCAACACTTCCCTGGGCAGCCCCTTCCAATGCCTGAGCACCCTTTCCATGAAGGAATTCCTGCTGGTGTCCAACCTGGCACAGCTTGAGGCCGTTTCCTCTTGTCCTGTCCCTGTTCCCTGGGAGCAGAGCCCAATCCCCCCGGCTGTCCCCTCCTGTCAGGAGCTGTGCAGAGCCAGAAGGGCCCCCTGAGCCTCCTTTTCTCCAGGCTGAGCCCCCCCAGCTCCCTCAGCCCCTTCCCCAGCTCCGTTCCCTTCTCTGGACACGCTCCAGCCCCTCCACGTCTCTCTTGTCCTGCGGTTCCCCAGGTGCCCCAGGATCTGAGGTGTGGCCCAGCAGTGCCAGCACAGGGCACAGTCCCTGCCCTGGCCCTGCTGCCACGCCATGGCTGGCACAGCCCAGGTGCCATCGGCCTCCTGCCCCCTGGGCACAGCTGGCTCCTGTCCGGCCCTGTGCCCAGCACCCCCGGGGCCTTTCCCAGCTTTGCAGCCCCTCTGCCCAGCCTGGAGCTGCAGGGCTCGGGGTGAGCCAAGGCAGGGCCGGGCCCTTGGCCGTGCTGCCCTCAGAGCAGGGCCTGGGCCCATGGATCCGGCCTGTCCAGACCCCTCTGCAGAGCCCGCCTGCCCCAGCACATCCACACTCCCACCCTGTGGGAATCCAGAGCTTCCCTCTGGCTGCTCTGGCTGCCCTGGGACCCTGGCAGGGGGTCAGGAACCCCCTGTACAGAGCCCCCAGAGACACTGTCTCTGATCTCTGTCCATGAAAAAGAGTTTTCAGTCTCACAGGATGAATTACAAACTCTGAGTGTTTGATATAAGTAATAATTAAGCGTGGCATGGGTGCAAAAGTAAAATTTTAGGATTCTAGATTAGGAGTCCAAAGGGGACAAGATGGAGGAAATTGGGTGTGCCTTGTGCTTTTTCTCCTTCTTCATGCCCTCCATGTTTCACTGTAGTGTTGGCATTTTTCTGTTGGTTTAGGCTGGGGACACACTGTTCAACGTAGGTGACAGATACTGGCACATTATTGTAAATACAGCACAGGTAGTTTCTGGTATATAATATTTGTAACATCCCACTGAGGGCAGAGCCCCACACGCTGCCCTGCAGGACAGACCTGCGGCAGGGCAGCAGAACATGTTAGAGATAAACAGAATAAACAACCTTGAAACCAGCACAGACGAATTATGGCTTCTTCTTTGGCAGCGGAGCTGACAGACAGAGACCTTTTACAATCTCAGAATCATCAATACCACAGATTCCAACACCACCCTGCTGGGTGCTGCCCATGAACTGACCGGCTGTGCCTCCATCCCCTCACCCAGATCATCAATAAAAACATGAACCAGGGCTGGCCCCAGTGCTGAGCCCCGAGTCCTTGGGACTGTTCCCCACCGCTCCCTGGGTCCAGCTTTCCAGACATGCAAGAAGAAAAATGGTTCTTCATAAACTAAATGCACAGTGATTAAAGTGCCAGAAATCAGGATTACAAACTGCAATTGTGCTGTGGCCTACAGAGGTGGAAGAAATTATAGGAGGTTGAGGGCTCCAGACATTTAGAGCAGACTATGGTTCTAGCATGAGTAAGAGACCTCATCCTTCCCAACAGTCTCTGGAAGTCAGAGCAGAACAGATGTGATGACCAGGAATACTTTTACTGCTGGCCCACTGTAGAAGAGAGGATGCTGACTTGTTTTGTGCTTTTTTTTTTTTTTTTTTAACAGAAAATGAAATGCTCCATATTAGAGGTTACCTCAGGAGAGTTCTCCTACTCTCTACCCAGGGTGCCCACATTGGGAGCCCTAAGGCTTCCTGTGAAATGAGTGGGAATGGCACTTTTAAAAAACAATCCAGAGCATTTAAATGAGTGGCTAATCCTAGTTTTTTAGGAATGGCATTTCCTCCAATTCTGATATCAGAGACAGCCCTGGCTGGTGCTGCAGGTGCCTGAAGTGAGATGCTCCCACCACCCAGAAAGGCACCTGCTGAAAATACTGTGGCCCAGAGCATCTCCAAAGTGACATTCCTCTACTTGATAGCTTTATACACCAAACAGCACAGTGCTGCTCTGACGGCTTGCACAAATTTCTTACAGGCTCCAGTCAGTGAGTTATGAACATGTATTTTAACACAGATTTTGCCAAAGCGGAGAGAATATCGGTAGAAAATAGCAATTGGATGCTTTTGCACATCAATCTGGTAAAACAAATTGGTACAAAATTGCCAGCAAGGCACTAGGAGAAAGGGTCACAAGAGAATTCATTTCAGTATGCTGGTGGCAAAACTGAATGCTATCTGTAAAAAGGTGCTTGATAAAAAAAAAAGATAGGAGAAATTGAGTGATGTAGTGCCTGAGGAACAACTGAACTGTGTGAGATAAGACTGCCCAGATGAAATTAACTGAGAGAAGTTAATTAACAGAGAGCAACCCCAAGGACAACTTACTTTTAAATTAGGTTTCTGACAGCTGTGATGCCTTGGGGAAGTCCAGCTTATAACAGAAACGGTCTGTGTAAACCACAGCTTACTCTCACTCAGCTTTGCAATATTCAACCTGTGTATCTCTTACTTCCCTCAACTATCAAAGTGGTGTGTGCTGCCTGCTACACCCCCAGGCTCTTTTTGGTCAAGGAACCTGAACATCAGGAGCCATTCTCAAATTTGGAAACCTGTAAGGAAAAGCCTAAATTTCAGAATTTCCAATAAGGTAGCATAACACCCTCTAGGGCCACAGTCCTGTGTGTCAGTCAGTTAAAATTGCTAATTTTAATTGGGTAAGATTAACTTGCCTGGTATCCAGTCCCCTCCGTTCAGTACCTTAGGGAAAAAATAAAAAAACAAAACAGAACCCCAAAATCTATAAGCAGTGCAAGGATATAGAGACACTTCCCCAAAACACTTGAACAGTCTGCAGTTCAGCCTTCCTAAAGCAAAGCTGGGGGCCTGGTCACCAGGAGCTATCAACACATTTACTCCCCACTCACCCCTTGAACATGTGTCTGTCTCTCACCCCTCAGCAGCAAGGAGGTGCAGTTCACATCACCCGAAGCTCCATCTCCTGTTTCTTGCTCTGACCCACCAGCTTCCCCTGAAGGCATCAGGCAAAGGCCAACTAATCCACATTTTTCACACCACTGTGTTAATGCTCTGTGTCAATGCTGCCCTACTGCCCCAAAGCCTCCACATCCATCTCTTTCCAAAGCTGAGAAAAGACAGCCTGCAGTTACTCCGCCCTGGAAAACCAGCTGCTCATCCTCAGTGCTGTTTCCTGATATGTTTCTGTTATCTATTACATCTCCAAGATCTTATTCCTACATAGCAAGACACCATTGAGAGCCCATAATTTATTGTATTTCAGCTCATATTTATCAGTATTGATTTCCCACAAGCATTTCAGAGCCTGAGAACTGCAGTTCTCCAGCATTTAATAGACTCATTGCTTATTACTCATAATTAGCATTCACAAGCTGTCCTTCATGTGGCTGTGCAGCATATTGGTGAGGCTTGGTCCCAGGCAACAGCCTTTCAGAGGATAACATACTTCAGAAACAACATAAAATGGAACATGACAGGGTTGGGACACCTCTTTGGGTGAGCTGTTTAATGAGAAATAGGAAAGGTCAGAAGAGGTAGTTCTCACACAAATTTCCACATTTGCTGCAACCAGGCTGACACCCATCAGTTAAATTTTCTGCTCAGAGCTGTGGCTGACATCCTGGTTTTCTAGCCCCTATTCTCCTGCACAAGTTTTTTTATCAGTACTCGGAATACATTGTAAGAGACAACTGCTTAAATACTGACTCTACAGGCATTTTGTTATGGCATCTTTAAATGAAATAGATGCTTAATTAGGGGCTATTCAAAGAAAATGGTGTTCTCTGAATGAAATGCTCATTCTCTGAGAATGCCATGGATGTACAGGCTTTGCTTTAAACCCAAGGGATGTTTGATTTCTTGTATGCCACCTGCAGTGGCTGCCAAGAAAATTCTTAGATCAGGAGGTAGGCTATTGCACAACCTTGCAATGTCACAACTAGTGATAAACAACTAATTCTCAGGGTCACTTTTCCTCCATGAGTCTTCACAGGGTCTGGCTCCTAGATATCCCCAAGGCACCACACAAAGCACTAATGGGGGTCTCTGCCTTACAAACCAGGTGCAGAATATTCACAAGGTACTTTCCAATGCTACCCAACTGTTTCACCTGTTTCATTTCCTGTTCGAAAAGACAAAAGCCCTACTCTGCCTAGCTTAAACACATTTCCTAAGTAGATCACACAAAGGAGAGAAAAAAAAAATGGGAATGTTAATAGTATTATCTCCACCTTTGGGAAACTAGAATTAGAAAATAAGAAAAAAAAAAGCACATTTTGCACTAAGTTTAAAACTTATTTTCACTTCCCTGTGTAGTGCCACTTTTCAGGAGCCATCTTTGCTCATAAGCAGCAGAAGAGATGTTATCTTAGTAAGAACAATCCACACACACCCAGCAAATCTTCCAGTTAAGAACACTGATTATGAAAAAAAGCACCCAAAGGAGCCCCATTTTCCAAACTTACTATTCTCTCCTTCAGTAACGCTCCAGAAGCTCTTCCTAGACCTTGTCCCAGCAGTCAGGATGTAATTTCTGGGGGAGAGGGCTGAGCCCAGGCTCGGAGACCTCCCATGCAGGGCAGCACAAAGCAAACTAAGGGGAAGTTGTGCCGCAGTGCTCCGCTCTTAAAAACGAAACCATGGTCCCATCCGGAACTGAATTGTCTGTGTGCTGGTCCCTGCTGCAGAGACTGAAATAAACAGGAACACAAGTGCAGGAAACATGCAGCCCTGCAACTCCTGAAGCAGCAGAAAATGTTAAAAAGGTATGATCTTTTCTTAGATGGCGTTGCCCAGCGTGACTGGGCCGCTCTGCCTCTGGGGTAACTCACAGAGCTTGTTTTGTTTGCAATAAAAAACTAGCCAAATGCAGACAACATCATGTTCCAATACATCTTTTCCTCATGCTCATTCAAGTATTTTATACAGCAGATCAGGACCACTCTACCTACCTGGCAGAAGGAGAAACCTAGAAAATTAATTCCTTTGTCCTCAGAGAGGAAGTTAACCACACCAGGGCCCAAAGCACTGATGCGAGACAAGAGTTATCTCCAGCAGGCAGTGCTGCTGCCCTTCCTCCCTTTTCACATCACTGATTAAAGAGGAACAACTCACTACAGAAACCACCTTCCCTGGACATTTTTTCCAGGTGTGAATTGCATTTATTAACACACCTATTTTCCTCCAAAACCTGATGTAGTGACCAGTGCATGGAGTATCCAGACTTCTGTAGAACAGCAGTAGCCAATCCTGTATGAGTTGCATTTGATTTCATGCCCATGATGCCTAAAGATTTTTGCTTTTTATATATTTTTCATGTATTTTTAGCTTTGCAGACTGTTAATACATGGTTATATAGTTTCTAGAATTTTCCTACCCTTTCTCATAGATTTTAGATAAATAAGCAAACCCTTTTAACTTTCCTGAAATTCTGCTGAGTCTTATCCTCAAGAAGAGAGCCTGTAAAAAGGATATTTTGTTTTGCAACCAGAATTTGAGGAGACATCACAAGAAAATATGGCAAAGTCGTCCCTGAACCAGCTCCAAGGGGCTGACCCAGGGTAGGTGTTCCTGTTAAGTTCTCAAAGCACATCTCATGCACACCCCCCACCACAAACACCTGGCCCCCACATGAAAACAGCCACTGAAGAACAATTCAAGGATTCAACAGCAATAACAAGTTCTGATAATGCATTTTCCTGCTTCTCCACATGGCCCTGCTGCATTGGAGAGCCACTCTACACTCTCTGCACACCAGAGCGAAGGGAAGCTCACCATTCCTAAGTTCTTCCCACAGGTTTTTCCATTGAGAAAAAAAAAAAAAATAGAAAACAGTGATCATTATTTGTTTATTTGAATAAATAGTACAGCTGTCCGAAACCATGCATAAACACTCCTGCTGTGAATTTTAGCAAACATAGCATTGCATTGCAAATTGCTTACAGTACACAACTCTTATCACTAAGATGGATGTCTCCAACATATGACAAGTCCAGAATTTTATCTGCAAGGCTGGTTTTTAGTAGTTAGAAATCCAGAATAAACACTGTTAAAAAAACAATATAAAATACTCTTAAAAAACACATTAATACTGAAAGCACTGTGGGGTGGGGAAGAGGAGTAAGAAATTCTATCAGGTTTAAATTGATTTAAAAAAAAATTTGCCACTGTCCGTTTTTCATCTCGAAAAACAGAATACAGCTGAGGACTATCTGAGCTTTTTCAGTGGTAATACAGCTCACTGTAACTGAGTGTGTCAAGTAAATGCACCTAAAAGTCAAGTTGTATGGACTGGAAAAGACAGACATTCATTAAGTACTTACAAACGTGGGAGCTTTACTGCTGCAGAGCATTCCAGATGAACTCAAAAGGATTCAGACTGGTACCCATATGCACAATCCCAGTAACACAAAGATACCATGAATAACATTTTTAACACTGACTCAGCTTTCTGAGAGGCAAAGAATTATGGTGCATGTGTCACAGAAAGGTGTGACATAGGTAGGCTTTCAGAGAAGCTTTACCTAATGGCTCCTCCTGGAAACTGACTGGGATGAAGCCACACTTCAGTCCAATCTGCCCTGCTCACAGATCTGGTTAACAATAAATAAATGTTTACAGAACAGTGAGCTGGCCAGACAGCCAGGAGCCAAGGAATGAAAAAAGGATTTTCCCTGTGCATCATCTACCCAAAAACAGGACCACAACAGAACAGGCTATGATCCCTGATCCAGGGAGCAGTCCTGGCTGACAGGGATATTAACAGAAGGAATGCTAAAGGAAACCCATGGTTGTAGCAAGGGGACTAGAAACACAGAATTCAACAAAATAGACACTATTTTATAACCTGTCATAACCTGCTCACCTCTGCTCATGTGCCCTGAAGATGCCAGCTCTATGATCCCAGCTCAGAAACAGCCATTCCCCTTTCCAAAGCCACATCACCCTCACCCATCTCTTCTTTTTTTATCTTCGGTTTGCTTTTGACATTAATACTGCTTGCAATTTCAAAAACTGTACTCTCTGGAGGTCTTTCCCAGCAACTCAGAGAATATAAACAGAGCTGGCACCTCCACATCACCTGAAGGAATTGGGGTGGAATAACAACTCTAACAGACTTGCTACCTGCAAATAACCCTGTATTAAACTAAGTTTGAGAGACCTTTCAGCTCAGTGACCGTCCAGCTTCGTGATACCTTTATTTCTCAGCACAAAAGTTAGCCCAATTTCCTTCACCTGCCAGGAGAGCTGCCCACCAGGCCTCAGCACCTGTGCAGGTCTCCTCTGTTGGTGCTGTGGTGGAATTCAGTGGCCCCATCTGAACTGCACATCTTTGTTCCAGACTCAGTATAAACAGCGAGAGGTCAGCTCCTTCCTAAAGTACAGGCATCCAAAGATTCCCCAGAGAGCCTGGCAGAGCAGAGGAGACCTGAATTTTTCATGCAAAGAAAGGGTAGCTTCCTTCTTTTTCCAACTTCGTATTTTTTTTTAGAGGTGTGAGGGGAGGTAATCCAAGTAATCCAAATACTAGAACTCAGAATCCAAAAATACAAAGCAAAGAAGCAGAAGCTCATTTCTTTCCCTCTGAGACGAAAAACTGTTTGAGAGAGGAAGGAGAAAATCCTAATTGGAAAATTATACCATTCAAATAGCATGTTTCGTCTTGGATCTGAGCTCAAAGGCAAATAATGTTTGGTGTAAAAAAAAGAAATTGATTTTTAGGGAAAGAAGATGCTGACTTCCAACAGGACTCAAGTGAGCCCATGGAGGAGAGCAATTTTACCTGCTCTCCTTCAGGGCACTCTGCCTAGTGTTTCAGCCAAAGGAATGGCTGCCCATAAAACAACAGCTGCTGCTGTGATACATAAAATCAGCAATCAAATTTATCCTCTACGTGCTCAAAGAAAAAGGGTGATATTGAACACATATTCCACATACCATTTACTCTGGAAATGCCAATCCCATTTCCTCCACAAAGCTCTCCTCAAAAATCCACTCAGATGGCTCCTGTTCCAGCACATCCCCTCTGTTATTTCTGGAAGGACAGGGGGAAATGCACTAATCCAGCCTGTGCCTGTGTGACCAGCTCTGGACCAACCTGACTGAAGCTGCCTAACGAGTGACAGTGGCTCTAGCAACCAAATTTCTCCTAGAAAATAGATTAAATAAAAATTAGACATCAAAAGATTATCTGGTCACCCCATTGCAAGTCTTATTATGTGTAAACACTGAATGCAAGTAACACTGAGTAGAAAGAGGTGAACACAAAAAATGAAGCTTTTGCTATTAGCTTCAGACAGTGCCTATAATTCCCCTCAGCCCAACCCACCCAACAGAACACACAAACCCTTATTTAACAGAAAAGGCTCAGCTTTTAAATAAATCCCAATGGTGATTTTCTATTGTTAACACTCTAAGCCTGAAAAATCACGAAATGCTAGTTGCAACCAAGGAGTATGCAAAGAAAGTCACCTGCAGAAGCAAAGAATCTTGAGCCATGAGGAAAGTCTCATGTTTCCCCTGCTTATTAAAGTAGTTAGTGGTATATTTCCTTTCTCAAAAGAACATTTGTGGATTATAGCAAACAACAGATCTTCCTGGCAAAAGTGTGAAATACCTATACATTTTCAAGTGATCTAGAGAATATACATACATCATTTTTAGCAGGATTGTCTTACAAACAGCTACAGAGAGAACACATCAGGTGTAGGAAGAATGCATGAAATGCATAGCATAAGGCATAATGGGAGCATGCAGAGGGTGTGTTTATTGTAACTTCTGCCTGGGGAGGTTGAAGGATGAAGAGACCTCAGCAGCTTCTAGGATCACTCAACGTTCTTGTACTTGGTGAACAGGTTGTACAGAACCCTGAGTGTAGACTTCAGGTCCAAGTTGACAACATCTGTGGAAGAAAAGGAGAAATCCTTGATTTGCATTGTGTTTTCCCTCATTTGTCCTGGCAAGGACAGAAGTCCCCACATCTCTGAGCTGATGGAATTGTGAATTAAAAAAAAAAAATCTACGGAGTTCTGATTTCCCCAAGCCTTTTAAATGTCCCACACAATGTGCTTCAACAGAAGGTAATTCCCTTCCCCAGCTAAAATTTGCTACAGAGAAAGTCTGCTTCTGTCAGAGACCTGGGATAAAGGCTTTGGGAAACACTCCTGATGACTTCCCTGGCCACAGAAGTACTGAACCACATCCACAGGTCTGCAATGATATGAATTAACAAAGTTTGAATCCTTAACAGACTCCGAGCTTTTTATTATTTAATAACTCTTCTTATCATGCTAAGCCAGGGAACAAGTCTGGAACAGCTCTCAAGAAGAAGCTTTCCTGTTAGCACCTCTCCACCTATACTACAATAAAATGCCAAGAATGCAGGTATTCTGGGGGGGGAGGCACAGCACAGAGAAGGCTGAAGAGGTAGAAAGAAAGTTTGGATAGAACATGTCAGAAATTAGTGGGAAGAAGCAAAAAATATGCAGTGAACAACACATGGAAGCAAAAGTGAGGAAGAACATAAAAAAAAAATCATCAGAAGTTCTAGGAAGACAGCAAACTGTTAAAAAACCAAGCACAATTAAGGTGAGGTCCAAGAGAAACCCCCACTGTCTGCTTAGAAGACTCATTGCCAGGACCGCTCCACCCTTCCCTCCCA